TTAGAATGCTGGCCACAAAAAAGTTTATTGAATTCGAATTTCGAATTGTTCATGAAAATAAAACTATACTTTTTAGAATTTTACTCATTTTTTAATATGGAGTGGACGCTTAAAGAAGACGGTGTTGCAGTTATTGCGTTACATCGTTGCGGTTACGCGCCAATTCAAATTTTTGACATACTGAAAAATTTAAATATAACCAAAAGATTCGTTTATCATACCATCAAACGATACAATGAAGACTAGTGTAGATGACAGGTCAAGAAGTGGTCGCCCTCGGTCTGTTAGGACTCCAGCAGTGATAAAAGCTGTGAAGGCGCGAATTCAAAGAAATCCCTAACATAAGCAGAAACTGTTGGCCCTTCAGATGGGGTTAAGCAGAACCACGGTGAAAAGGGTGTTAAATGAAGACTAAGGGCTTCGGGCATATCGAAGAAAAACAGGACATCGTTTGAATGCTCGTCTAATGGACCTGAGACAGAAGAGATGCCGCGCTTTGTTGAAGCGGTACGCGGGAAAAAAATATCGGGAAACTCTTTTTTCGGATGAAAAAAGTTTTACCGTAGAAGAGAGCTACAACAAACAAAATTATAAGGTGTACGCACACAGTAGTGAAGAAGCGAGCAACCGTATTCCGCGTGTCCAACGAGGTCATTTTCCATCCTCGCTCATGGTATGGTTGGGAGTTTCTTATTGGGGCTTAACAGAGGTACATTTTTGTGAGAAAGATGTAAAAACGAATGCAGTTGTGTATCAAAATACAGTCCTGACGAACCTTGTGGAACCTGTTTCTCATACCATGTTCAATAACAGACACTGGGTATTCCAACAAGATTCGGCGCCAGCTCATAGAGCGAAGAGCACACAAGACTGGCTGGCGGCGCGTGAAATCGACTTCATCCGGCACGAAGACTGGCCCTCCAGTCCAGATTTGAATCCGTTAGATTACAAGATATGGCAACACTTGGAGGAAAAGGCGTGCTCAAAGCCTCATCCCAATTTGGAGTCACTCAAGACATCCTTGATTAAGGCAGCCGCCGATATTGACATGGACCTCGTTCGTGCTGCGATAGACGACTGACCGCGCAGATTGAAGGCCTGTATTCAAAATCACGGCGATTATTTTGAATAAACTTTAGTATCATAAGAATCTATGTTTTGTTAAGTTCGTTTTGGTATATAAATGGTTACATAGTGAATAAACTTGTTTCAATTATTTTATATTAAACATGTGACAGAATTTATGACCTGACTAGGTATAATATTCTAGAAACTGATAAACCTGTATGAAAAACAACTACTCAATTAAATGAGATTGTGTAACAAAAAACTTTACCTCAGTGTAAACTAGCGACATCTGGAGAGCATGGTCCGTAAAGTGTTCAAATACGAGGGTTTGTGCTCGAAGGCTTATTTTAACCATAAAATGATCCATCTTTTATCGAAATACTTATTCCAGGACGTAAGCCATAGAAAGCCATGATGTTTAGATAGTCCATGGTGTAGCCTGTTGGACTATTTGACATAATATCAAGGTTAGTATCACCTGTCAAAACAATATGCTTAGTTTTTATGTCACGCAATACGTAGTCGATGGGAGTCTAGATAGGGACTAACATTTTTAAAACGTGATGGTCTATATGTACCAATGACTGTATTGACGATCTATATTCGCAATTAGACAATTACCTTCCTTTATACTTGGTTCAAAGACTTCAATATTCTGAAAACTACTAACGTATATAATTACACCATTGTTTTGATTAAAAGTATGATTGGTGCTGAAAGCTTCATAATTATTGATTATTGGTGTTTGCGTCTTCATTGATCCAGCATTCCGTGAATACCAGAATATCAGTTATTACATCTAACGGAGATAAAACACTAGGAACCTATACAAGTCACAATTTATACTGCGTATTTACACACAGGATTGAAGATGGATTCCCTTTTTCAGTTAAGTCCAAATAACTTTTACAGTTGGTTGAATCATCAACGTAAATACTTACGTTAATGATCCAACTACACAAATCCTACAACAGAAAATGATGTGTCTTCTAAAATATAAATAATAATAATAATATAGAATCTTAGACTGCAGTACTGATTATACATACTAGTTTTTGAATACAAGATAAATAAAAATATAAAATTAAGTAATTATAATTTCTGTAAACATTAAAATTATGCTATAATAAAAATATCATTATGTAATTTGAAAAAAATTATTTACTTTATAATTTTTTTTCGTGTATTTTTTAAAGTAGTCATAGGTACATAATTCACTTCCATATAATAAAAATTATAAAAAGAACTATCAGATAAATGTCTATGCACTCGAATTATCGTAATTAAAGTGGAAGATAATGGGTGCAGAAAGACTAATGTTTCTACATTTTCAGGCAGTAATTTACTCCTTTTCTTCTCGTAGATAAGCTTCAGAGAAGACAGTCTGAAGAATAAACACTACTTCCCTTCCGACCGAATACTTTTGCCTAATATTCGGCTATTCGGCCAGTAAGTCCGCGGAATATTCGGTATTCGGCGTGTGGCCTAATTCTAATTATATATATATTATTATTCCGGTGTTCTAATTTAATCACACACATACTTATAGTGTGGTAGGTAGGTGAAGAGGCTATGTCAGGGGCAATAAAAATACTTCCAATAAGTGTTATTTATAATCTCCGTTGAATAAAAATTAAAAGTTACAGCCTATATAAGTCCCAATGCTGGGCACAGGCCTTCTCTTATTTCTGAGAGGAAGAAAATATCCGCCGCGGTGCCCCAAACTTCACGTCTTCGGAATATTTTTTTTTCTTATTTATCCTTTCCACACGATATTTTCCTTAATAGCCGAGCAAGTTGTAAATTAGCACTTTTTACAAACTAATATTGCAATTAACAATTTCATTGGTGCCGGCGGGGAACCTGGGTTGCTCGCGTACTGTGAAATTTACAGCGAGCGCTAAGCCCCTGAGCTATAAGTAGCGGCACGAAAGTCTAGCCGTGACCGTTATTGCAAATAAGTCGAGCTGATTGGCTCGTGCGTATCGTACGCACGCGCTGATTGGCTCGTGCGTATCGTACGCACGCGCTGATTGGCTCTCCAGTCGCATTCGTGCAATTCAATTCGTGCTCATCCCATCTACGTTTCGTTCAGCACTAGACTTACGTGCCGCGACTTGTACCGCAACTCACGACAACGACGAGTTGGAATAAAACAAAGTATTATTTAAAGTAAATTTAGGGTCTATATACGTCCTACATCTGGACACAGGCCTCCTCTCAATTCTGCGAGCGTTTTAGGGCAATAAAATGGCCGCAACAGCTGCCTCAATGCGTATTGGCGGAATTCACATAACTTCGAAATGTCCGGTTTCCTCACGATGTTTTCCTTCACTTTTTTTATAGGAGAGGGGGCAAACGAGCATGCGGCTCACCTGATTGTAAGTGACTACCGCCGCCCATGAACAACTGCAATACCAGGGGAATTGCAGATGCGTTGCCGGCCTTTTAAAAAGGAGTAGACTCTTTTCTTGAAGGTCGCTAAGTCGTATCGGTCCGGAAAAATAGCTGGTGGTAATCGATTCCACAAGGAAGTTGTGCGAGCAAGAAAACATCTTCTAAATCGTACAGTGGTGGACCGCCAATCATCCAGATGGTGTCGATGGTATCGCGAGTTCTGCCGCGATGTACGTTCGTGAAATTTGGCGGCTGGGATTAATCCGAACAATTCCTCAGAGCACTCCCCGTGGTAAACGCGAAAGAAAATGTAAAGGGATGCAACATCTCTTCGCAGCGCCAATGAATGGAGCCAATCGGAAAGGACTCGGTCGTCGACGATTCGAGCCGCTCTGCGCTGGACACGGTCAAGTGGAAGAAGTTGGCACTGGGGAGCCCCAGCTCAGAGATGGGAACAGTATTCTATGTGCGGCCGAATCTGCGCCTTGTAAAGTTGCAGGCGTTGTGCCGACATGAAATACTGTCCCGCTCTGCTGAGCACGCCAAGCTTTTTAGAGGCCAATTTGAACTTCTCTTTCAAGTGACCACGAAACTGCACGTCACTCGATATGTCGACGCCGAAGATTCCGATACTGGCTGAGGCAACAAGGGGAGTGCCTTGAAACTGAGGAGATACGACAAAGGGGTTCTTTTTAGCGGTAAACGCGCAAACTTGAGTCATCTATGGATTAAACTGGACTAGATTTAGTCGCGCCCAATCCGAGACTTTGTTCAGCAAAGATTCGACTTCAGACACAAGTTTGTTCCGGTACTCGGCGACGTTTTCCCGAGAAATATTGGCACGGCCGGTGTATAGAGCCTCACCAGTGCTGTCATCCGCATACCAGCGTTCAACATATCATTGACATGCAGAAGAAACAGCGTTGGTGATAGCACGCAGCCTTGTGGAACACCATCGTTAATAGACTTGTAGTCGGAGCATGCACCGTCTACAACAACCTTGATGCTCCGATCTGTAAAAAAGCTGGTGATCCAATTCCACAATTTCTCGGGAAGCCCATAGGAAGGGAGCTTCGAAAGAAGCGCTTTGTGCTAAACCCGATCGAAGGCCTTCGCAATGTCCAAACTTACGGCCAATGCCTCTCCTTTGGACTCTACTGCCTCCGCCCATCTATGAGTCAGGTTCAGATTCACTAACGACTATGTGGTAAATCAGCACTTAATATTACAATTTCATTAGTGCCGGCAGGGATTGCACCTGGGTTACTTGCATAATGAGAAATTTACTGTTAATTGTAAGCGGAATATGGCATTCCACTTATATTATGTGTTAGAAACTTTTGTCCAACATACCGACCCCTAAAATTGGTTGGCTGTCCCACTTCTTATAGAACTTTAACTTCTTTTTTATTCTCTGTATCAACATCGTAATACATTTTAGAAATCTCAGGTAAATATCTATACTAATAAAACATCTGTTAGTGTTCCTATGACTAAATTTTACTATAAAATAACATTAAACAATAAAAATAAATTTAAGCGGCGTCTGCCGTTTTCGCAGCAGCTTCAGCTTCTTTCTGCTTTTCTGAATTCTCTCTTTCTGTTCTTCGATTTCTCCAAGCAGTCATGTATGAACGGGGATGGATGGGGAAGAATCCAGCCAAACCTACAAATAGGTGAAAATTATTTAGCAAATTTTACATGGCTATATAAATAAAATCTAGGATGTAGTATAAGAAAGCAGTCATTGGTGTTGTTAGCCTGCCAAAGGCTGCTGTTGTACTTACTCCCAAGGAGATTTGTAGTAATAACCAGACTTAACAAGATTTCTTTTAATAAGTGAAAGATGACAAACGAGCACAGTCCACCTGATGGTAAGTGGTTGCTGTGGCCCATAGACATCTACATCTATTCTCAATTACGAATCTAAATACAGATGCGTTGTCATCGGTGAGGACTAAGAAGGAATGCCTTGTTTCCAGTAAAAGGGTTAAGCTGCTATTCTAGCTGGTATTCTGTGAGAGCGTGGTCCTTCCCCTGTCGAGCCGACCCATTCGTGCTACAACTATACCACTAATATAGCTGCAGCATGGCTCTATCAAGTAAAAATTATTAGATCAAGTGCACTATGATTGCTCCTCACCATTAATATTGTAAATAAATTTATCAGTCAAGTTGGGGTGGCGTGACTTTATAATTATTAGATCTTGACTTATATCTAATATTACATATAGCATATTCTGCGGTTACTGGTAGATTTATTAATTAAAATTATATATCAAATATTGGCATAAAAATACAGAAAATAATTTATAAAATTGTTATTAAAATTTTATACATAAATGCATATAAAATGATTGTAAAAAGTTATGCACCCACTACATTTTTTTTTATTTGTAATACTATCCCAATTTATTAAATCACTTCAATATGAATTACTATCTCTATATAAAAAATCAATTGCTGTCTGTTATTAAATCACTATAATATCAATGATTATCTCTATATAAAATATCTATTGCTGTTTGTTAGTCTCTATAAAACTCAAAAACGGCTGGACCCATTGTGATGAAATTTATTAGTGTGTATTTGAGTGGGTCCCTGAATGGTTTAGACTTTAGATTCACAATTGGACACAGTAGTTGGCGCAATCTCACCAACTATCTTTTCTGGATCTCGACGATCCAGAAAGCCCCATGTGAAGCCAGGGCGGTTTGTTAATAATGTATAAAAATCAGCCTAGAAACTAGAGAAACATAGAACAACAGCAGAGAAACAGCTTTCATTTTTTTGGTACCAATTTGATGAAAGGTAATATGAAAAACGTTTTTGCCCAAAAATAAGAACTTAAAAGGTGTTTTGTGATTTGGATACACACTAGTACTTGTTTCACAATTTTATTAAAATTATTAATTTATTAACTATAAGAAACGACTGGTTTCGCCTCACGGCATCATCAGGTTATATCCATATATCCTGTATTATATCATATACCCAGATGATGCTGTTTTTTTTTTTGTGTAAGTAAACTTAAGCTTAATTTTTGTTGGATGGATGGCATTTGGATACACACTTGTATCCAAATCACAAAAATTAAATTAATACACACTTGTATCCATATCACAAGAATGAAGCTGAAGTTTCACCAAGTGACAAAATCGCAAATATAAATTATATATTAAACTTACCAAGCAATTCTGCAACTGGGGGTGACACATGAGCTCCATGACCGAGCCAAAATTTTATTCTTTCTAAATTAAGGGCAACTAGTTTTTCATTGTTGAAATTTGGCATTGGGTCATATGAACCAAGTTGTTCTATCACTGGCTGGCTGTTTAGCCTTTTGCGCTATAGACAAAACAAGAAAGTGTATTATTTTCTTTTAAATTAGACAGGATAATATGAAAAAATATGCACCAGTTCTAAATACACTAAGTTTTTTCATTGACCAATGAAGCCAAAATGATCCTATAAGTTTCCATAGTAGACATGTGCCAATCATGAATGATTTGTTCATTTGACCCGGGTCCCATCGAAGTATTGATGATTGCAATTACATTTTTTTAATATTTTGGATCAACAATTGACAGGTACCACGAACAAATAGTATAGCAATGTCAGACGACCAACATTATCGAGTTCGTCTCACAGATCTCAGAGTACTGAAACTTAAAATAATCCATTTGAATGATTGAGCTGAATGACCCGGTTTGTAAGACGCATCAATACTTGTATGATCGGGTCACTAGAAAGGAATGAATGACACATATAATCCATAGGTTTAAATTGTATGTTGTGGTCGCAATGTGGTATCTTGGTAAGTTATTCCAGGCATAGATAAATTTAAGCTATTTATTGTAAAGTTTAGGAAGATCAATCAGTTTGGCATTTATGATATTTTGATAAATTACATTTAGCCATTTCATGACGTAATCAGACCAAAGCTCTCATATTCAAAACAATAGTTGAAATTAAATTCCAATTGAATATTGCAAATGGTAATATGGTCACGATCGATTATAAGCAATAGCAGGATAATCAACACTTTATTTTTCAAGAAGAATGAGAAAAACGAGCACACAGTCCACCTGACAGTTAGTGGATGCAGTTGTCCATAGACATCTATATTATCCTTAATTAAGAATCAAAATGCAGATGTGTTGTCATGTCTAAGGACTAAAATGAAATTGATTCCACTAGTCTTCATTTCTCTACATTCAGCATGTGAAACAGCAACGTCAAGCTAGCTGCTATTTGACATTGGTATTCAGTGAGAGTGTGGTCCTTCTCTGGTCGAGCCGATAATGCAGCTGCAGCAGTGCTCTATCATGTATAATATTTAGAACAATTGTGTTTGGCACTGAAAATTGTCTAACCTTCCTCCTCCATTCACATGTCTAACCAAATAAAAGGTTATGATCATCTAACAATCTCTGATATTATCTAAACATTTCATGAAATACCACATACTATTTATATGAATGTCTGCAGTAATTTATCACAAGTCCACTTTATAACATAACTCTCACAACATAATATACTACAGAGTAAAGTTCTCAGCCTCCTGCATCCATCAACTACATGCGTGTTACATTAGATCATTTCACATATTGGAGCATAGGCCAACACTGCACTTGACAGTAAAAAGCTACCACTCGAGATCATTTCGGCCCTATCAGTAGCCAGTTTATCGAGCTATAATGTACATTTGTCAATAAACATATTTAAATGTTTTATTACAGAAAAATTGTACAAAAAGGGTTATTATAATATCAAAGCATACATAAATGAAAATTACTTCTTTCAATAAGGTGATCGCAACCATGCTAGTTCTATTGTAATTCATTTAAAAAATTGAACAAAATTATTGTAAACTGAAATATACTTAAAAAAATAAATCCCGTTGCGTTTCTTGCTGGTTCTTCCCAGGTCAGAGGTATTTTCCAAACCAGTGATAAATAAAGAAATTAAGAATATCTATAATTATTATTTGTTCTACCCATTAATGTACCCAACATTACTTGTGCTGGGCATGGTGGGGTATAACAAACTTAAGGTTAGGAGGGAGTTATGTTTGGCAATGTTTATGTTTAAATTGCTGTGTGGAAAAATATATAACAAGGCGATGTTTCAAATGGCTATGCTGTGTGTTGCCAAACAGGTACGTGTGGTGTCGGAAGCCGCCCCCGCTGTTCGCGGTACCGCGCGCACGCACCTACCTTCTAAAGGAGGCCCCACTAACCCAAATGTTGCACACTCTAAATAAAGTAGCTCAGGATGTAAATTTATTATGCTGTTCCTTAGGTGAATTCACTAAAGTGGCATTATGTATTATGTTATAATAGTACATAAGTTGTGTTCTGTCCTTATTAAATGAGATGCCTACACTGTCGTATTAGGTACGCCTGTAAAGACAGAGGTAGAAATAAATACATAAATTATGTAATAATCTATATTGAATAGAAATCATTCTATTCTATTTTATCCTTATAAAATAGAATAGAATGATTTCTATTTATTGCCATTGCCATTTGAGCTGACTGATATGCTGGGCTATTCATTCATCAGTTACATTTGTTCTACTACGACTTGATTCCTTATCGCCGCACATAACCTTTTTTCTTAAGATTCTAATTTCAAAGGAATATCGGACAAGATTTGTCGCAGTTTACAAATAATTCGCTGTGATTTATACTGCTACGATAAATAAACATGGCATAGCTTCATTAATAACTTACGTGAGTTACTGATATATGAAAGAAAGGTCTGTTGGTGCATCCTTGGCGAATAAGTCGGATCGATTTTGCAGCTTTTACAAAGTATCTACCGGTTCCACTAGCCGGAGGTAAAGGCATTGTAAAAAAGATACTTATATGCTACAAATATTATAGTTGAATTATATTGTTTTAAATTATAAGTAGTAAAATAACAAAAACAAATAATTATTTGACATTGACAACCTAACTCTAATGCTACTTATATATATATTTATCTATGCTTATGCTCTAACCTAAAAATTTATAACCATTAACCACTAACCAGATGGATTTTTTTTTGGAGCTTATGGCCTGGTATCTAGACCTTTAGGCCAAGTCTTGAGTATTTTTATTGGGTTTATTATAATTTCCCCAAATGTATAATTATCCTTTATAGTTCACTGCTTCACAATATGTTGATGTATTCTCCTATTATTTCTGATTTTAGAATACTATTAAACGTTAGAAAATTAAAGTGTTTAACACTAACTTTCTACTAATGGTATGATATGTAACCAAAAGCCGTTAAGTTTTTACATATTAGTTCTTAGAAATGTTATGCCATGAGAAAATAAGAAGAACCGAAGTGAACGTTTTTTGCAATTTGCAGGTCAGTGTCAGGTTGTATGTTTAACAAAATATGATTCACGACCGTAACTAGTATCATCATCATCATCATTCATCATTACAGCCCTTCAGAAGTCCACTGCTGAACATAGGCCTCCCCCAAGGAATGCCACAAAGCACGGTCCTGAGTCACCTGCATCCATCGACTTCATGCATATCTTACCAGGTCGTCACTCCATCTAGCGGGAGGACGCCCAGCAGTGAAGGGCCACGTCTCAGTTCCATATGTCATCACTGCGTTACGGAGCCATCAAATTATATTAGTCAGACCTTGATCAAATTTATATGGGACTACATGAGAAACACCAACTTTCAAATAAAAAAAGAATCATCGAAATCAGTTCACCCAGATAAAAGTTATTATGTAACACATATTGTATTGTAGATGTAAAAAACATGCGTGAGTGTCGTGGAACACTCTATTGGAACGAAGTTCTTTTCGTACTATTTTATTATTTATAAACGTATTATATTATTGATTAACAAATACAAATAAATGTATTACTAACATCTATTAAAATGAAGCGTCATTTATAATAAAATAATATTTCTTTCATGATAAGATAAGAAAAAGCGTGACAGGGCTCTACACTACGTCAGAAGGGGCCGTGACAGAAAAATCTTACACTTTTTCTCGCCTAGCCCCTATCCGCAAAATACGTACCGTCCGATAAGGAACTTCGTGCCAAAAGAAAAAAAGAACATACAGTCGAATTGAGTACCATCTCTTTTTTGAAGTCGGTAGAAAAGAGTGGTTTACAACCCTTTTACAAAATATTCCTGCGAATATCACAAGACTACCACCATACCACTGCCATTATAATGCTATTGAATTGATTTTGGCCCAAATCAAAGGCTAGTTCATATATGAAATGCTCTTAATGCAAACATATTATTAACTATAGTTAAACAAACACGAAATGGAAATATCTTATGATTTGTAAAGAAAGTGGAAGATTTGCTTAATGAAGCATATACCCATGTCACAAAGAACGATTGGGCAAAAGTGGTGGAGAAAACAAAGAAAAGTATTTTCGATGACTTTGAAAGAACATTATTTTTGATACATTATTGAAAATCTAATAATCATTAATTTGAATAACGACAGCTCAACTAGTTGTATTGAAAGTGACTAAATATATTTAAATTTAAACTACTTTCAAATTTTAAATTTATACAATTTTGCCTCTAGACATAAGCAGTAATAATAAATATGAAGAAACTGATAAATCTAGTGTTTTAAATTATCCGTTTCTAATTTATTGTGGTATTGATATCGATTTTTCTAATGAATCGAATATTGTGCGTACCGATTTTTTGGTTGGTATGCCTAGTTCAATAAGTCTGACAGCTGTCAAAACGTATTTCTTAGATTTGGCTGCGTGGTTGAGTATAACGTTCAACACATGCATAGTTATTTCACCAGATGTCGCTAATAGGGACTGAGATGAAATTTTTTGTTCCACAATTATTCATAATTGTTCATAATTGAGAAGTTGTGTTTTAAATAAAATTTTATCGGTTCCTAGAGTATTAGATAAATAGTCAAAACAATGCCTCAGTGGTTTGTTCTAATGATTTTCAAATTTTTTAACTCTATTTTTAAATTTTTCTACTTTTAGGAATATCTGTTGTTTGGTTTATTCATTTGTAATGTAATTAATATTTAATATAACTAATATTACAAAAAGAAACATTAACCCTTACATTTTCCTTACAAATATTAACGTCCCCGCCATGTAATTTGTCAAATATTCACCTCACAACTGACGCTATGCTGGTGGAAAAATGTCGCCTGCATTAAACTCGTGAAAATTTTGAAATTGGAACATTGGTATTTTATTTGTCAATAATCGTATTAACAAAATAAACTATAACTGGCCAGTGACTTTCTGACAAAACTTTCTGCATGGACTGTTGGCTGTAATTAGTTTTAGTACCCAGTCCCTTAGTAACAACGGCTTACAAATGTAGCTCCCGTATTATCATTCTAAAACAACAATTAACAACTTTTTATTCTTTGTTGAACACCACCTACAAAAAATCATGTATAGCACAATTTATAAAGATGATACTAATTTGATAGTGATTTTCGCTTTGAAAGCGATTTTTTTCAGATAACCATTATGTAAATGATAAGTACAACTTATGAAAGAGAAAATGAGGATTCATCGTCGTCGTTTTTACAGCCTGCCCTGTAATGCCTTACTCTCTAAAAAGAATGTTAATACGAAATATCATTATTATTCTAATCAGGTTAGCTTGGTTAATGTTTTATGTTTACAGTTGAATAATACTTTTTCTTTCGTTTGAGATTTCTCTAATACCTATTATTACAACTGGCAACCCTAGCCAGCAGTACGCAACGATTGTGTAACTCTAGTGGGAATCATTTGCCGATGGAAATCACTCCGCAGCTACAAACTTCGCAATTACGGAATATTTTTTTATATTATTTCGTGACCTAAAATAAGATATAAATAATAATAAGTAATATTTTTTTTCAAAATTATGTATTTTTTTAATATACCAAGTTTTTTCATATTGTTGCAATGTCGTCAGATTCTGAGCTACTCGTATGTTCAAAATTTCAAGTTTTTACCTCATTTCGAAGTTAGTTTAAAATCAATTACAAAATTTGACCCGAACAGCGATTTAATATTAAAAACATAGTAATAAATTCATTGGTTTAAAACCAGTAGTGATACATTTAATTACTAAAACAAAACCAAACGACAAAGGTCAAAATGAAGCCAATTACGATTTTCACTGTATTTGCACAATCGCACTGCATTACCTGTCTTTTCAGTCATGTGTTCAACGTATGAAGCCTAAGCCAACATTTGTACAAAAACTGAGTCATATGTTCAGTGTATGAGACCAAAGCTAACATTTGTGCAAAAAATGAGTCATATGTTCAGTCTATGAAGCTAAAGCCAACATTTGTGCAGACTCAAGTTGTTGAACAAAGTCTCAGACTAGGAGCGACTAAATCTATTCCAGTTCAATCCCCAGAAGACACAAGCTTGCGCGTTTACCGCTAAAAAGAACCCCTTTGTCGTATCTCCTCAGTTTCAAAGCACTCCCCTTGTTGCCTCAGCCAGTATCGGAATCCTCGGCATCGACATATCGAGTGACGTGCAGTTTCGTGGTCACTTGGAAGAGAAGGCCAAATTAGCCTCCAAAAAGCTTGGCGTGCTCAGCAGGGCGGAACAATATTTCGTGCCGGCACAACGCCTGCAACTTTACAAAGCGCAAGTTCGGCCCCACATGGAATACTGTTCTCATCTCTGGGCCGGGGCACCCCAGTGCCAGCTCCTTCCACTTGACCGCATCCAGCACAGAGCGGCTCGAATCGTCGACAACCGAATCCTTTCCGATCGGCTCGATTCATTGGCACTGCGAAAAGATGGTGCATCCCTTTGCATTTTCTTTCGCATCTACCACGGGGAGTGCTCTGAGGAATTGTTCAGATTAATTCCAGCCTACGAATTTCACGAAAGCACATCGCGGCAGAACTCCCGATACCATCCATAACATCTGGATGATTGGCGGTCCACCAATGTTCGATTTAAAAGATGTTTTCTTCCTCGCACAACTTCCTTGTGGAATCGATTACCAGCAGCGATTTTTCCGGACCGACAAGACTTAGGGACCTTCAAGAAAAGAGCCTACTCCTTTTTAAAAGGCCGGCAACGCATCTGCGATTCCGCTGGTTCCCCTGGTGTTGCAGTTATTCATGGGCGGCGGTAGTCACTTACCATCAGGTGAGCCGCATGCTCCTTTGCCTCCTCTCCTATAAATCAATGTTGAGTCATATGTTTAGTGTATGAAGCCAAAGTCAAAATATTTGCAAAATTGTTTTTTTCAAATCTTAATGTGTCATTGCACTGCATCCAAGACTGCCTTCGTTCTCATCGCGTAAGCCATACATCCTATCTCTATACTGATTCCATGAATCCGATGAAGTTTGCGTTCGCCAGCTACCAGCAAATTGCAGCGATTAAGTAACATCCAAGCGTAGCAACTATATCCTCACTATGAGAGCAACTGTAGCAAATATAAAATATATATGAGAGAGGATTATGTTCAGCGTAACGTAAGGAAAATCTGAGCAACTTGAAAGGGGCTTATGTCCTTTAGAGATCTTTCTACAGGTTGATAACAAGTTGAATAAAACAGGCATCGTTTCTTTGAAAATACTTCAAGATTTTACCTATTGTTGTCCAGAGTAAAAGGGTTCTTGAGTCTTGAAATTCAAAAAGGCGGAAAGCGTTATTGTATAAGGATTTCTTTAAGGATAATACACCGTATAATTAAAACATGGCCTTCAAGACGTTTCAATGTTTTTTTTTAATATTATTTTGAATAAACTAAAAACATCCACTCATTAAAATTGAAAAGAGTTTTCTTCATTCGATGCCGTATTGTGATGGCGAAAGCAGCCTTAATTGGCCACAAATTTTGTAACA